AATTATCTAAATGCATCCTGGATTGCGGTTTGATCAGCTGGCGCGTCAACAAGGATTCCCCTATTCAGCCGCTCGGCGACTTTGTTTGACAAAGTCAAACAAATACCAACAAATATTTTCTCATGGGTCTTTGCCCTGCTGGGGGAAAAGGACCCCTAAATGTCAAATCTTAGAATCTCCCCTGATGTCAAGATAATATAAATGTGTTTGTAAATAGAAATATAGATTTATTTTACCTATGAATGACGTTGAGTTTCGCGTTGCGTTCCAGAAAACTGCAAACATCGAGACTAAAATGAGCAGCGCAATAAGCACAAAAGTGTAAAAGAATAAACCTGTCTGTAAAGCTGCACAACTAAACGCCATTATAGTCATTAAGATTAAGATGAGTGTCACAAATCTGTGCAGCCATCTAAGTTGTGGAGCTGCATGAGGAGCGCTGCGCTCTGACAGCAAACGCAGGGTCGTCTACGTGCTCATCGTCGCTGACTTCTTTTATTTCCCCCATACAGATAAAACTTTTTCATGATTTAATCATAAAAAAATATATATATTTTGGGTGTGGTTTAATTTGTAGTTTTTTGGCAAGAGCTTAGATTTTTTGCTGCCATCTCCTTCTTTGCTAAATCGGAAGTCAAAGTGCCATATTTCAATTTAAAAAAATCTAAATCATTTTGTAAAAGACATTTTAAAGAAAAGTGACTAACCTGTGAGCATGCATTAAATACATTTTTCACTAAGCATTTCATTGTCTTACATGTTTGTCCATAGAGGGGTCACAAGTAGTGCTGGTGCTAAACAGTCATCTTTTTAGACTGGGACGAACCCGGAGTACCCGGAGAAAACCCACCATGAAAACTCATTCAGAAAGACCCCGGGCCGAGAATTGAACCCAGGACCTTCTTGCTACAAGACAACAGTGCAACCAACTGTGCATCTCTGTTTAAGTAACATTCAAATTTGTTGAATATGATTAAAAATAATCCATCCATCCATGTTCTTACAGCCTACTATGGGGTCAGGAAGTGTGCTGGTACCTATCTCCAGCTATTCAACAAGTCAGAGGCTGGGTCATCCTGGACAGGTCACCAGTCCATCGCAAGGAAACAGAGACACACGCACACACTCATGAAGGAGAATTTAGAGAACCCAATTAACAGTCATACTTTTGGATTCTGTGGGAAGAAGCCGGAGTACCCGGAGAGAACCCACCATGCACAGGGAGATGATGCAAACTCCATGCAGAAAGACCCCTGGCCGAGAATTGAACCCAGTACCATCAAACTGCAAGGCAACAGTGGTACAAATTATGCATCCCTTTTTAAGTAACATTTAAAGTGATCAAATATGACTGAAAATAATTGCTGAGGTAATTATTGGAGGCTTTTTGGGGTTGGGACCGACGGAGAGAGGACTCAATACCAGGACCGACAGAGGAACAGAGAGGCAGAGGCACAGGGGGGCGTCATGGAGCCGAGATCGACAGCCGAGATTGACATCTTCAAAAGGCATTTCATTTGATGAAATACCTCTTGAAGATGTTGGCACCAGAAGAAAGTTTTGCGAAAAAACTGCCCCTCTTCTTCTGGTGCTTTTCAATCTGGCTTAAAAGAGATGACACAATTGTGTCGTCAACGATCTCGTGCTCCATGAAGCCCAGAGCCCATCCGGCAGAACATCCAAAGGATTTTCTGAGGTCCCTGAAAACCTTTTTAACAAGGCCAGGGACCCAGTCCACCTGGATTTCCACCGGATGGCTCTCGATGTAATCGCAGATATTATGAACCATGCGCTCCTGTGCCTCCATCAGGGAATCAAGACATCGCCGTGTCTTTGACTCCCTGATGCCCAGACACAGCAACGACTTCACAAAAAGTCGCACTGTGTCCTGTCTCTGTTCCCTAGGGACGCCCTCAGTCCTTCGGCGCGTCTCCTTGCTGTCATCAGTTCATGGACTAAACTGATGACAGCTCGCGCCAAAGAACTGAGACCTAAGCCCGACCTCAGAATCGACCAGGGGTCTTCATCATCCATGGGAGACGTGACCGCAGATGTTATGTGCTTCAGGAAGAGGATGTCAAGCACCTGAGCACAGTCTCCCTGGATGACTTCGTCGACTCCCATCGCCTGGGCAAAGGCCTGAGAGACCTGATCTCCGAACATGACTTTAATATCGCCATACTCGTAGTTCAGGTTCTCAGAAACGTCCCTGACAAAACTGGAGAAAACATCCATTAAATAACTTAAAAGGTATCTCGTCTTCTCTTCGATACCTTCATCCACGTCCAGAAATTGTCGATCCACCCAGTCGTCTTCATGCGTTTGATCAATATATTCGCTGATTGCAGGGATGGCGTGTCCGTCAACTAACAACTGCACATCTCTCCTCAATAAATCCATTTTTCTTCTGAGCTGAAATCGATGCTGACTCTTCTAGAACTACCTTGGAACATAGCACAACGTTACCAACCGGGGTTATTTATACCCCGTGTTACACAACAAAGCAGTACGTGACATCACAGCCTATGACGTGTCAGCACAAGAAGACACACAGCGCTGTGACGTCATAGGCCTACAAATCAAGTGTTCTGACGATCTGTGCTACCTCAGCACTTTGTCTTAAGGGACCTCTTCTTTCAGTAATGAGTGAGCTAATGAGTTACTATCTCAATTGCAGTAATCAGATTAAAGTTACTTATCCAAATTACTGTTCTTTGCTATTTTCCTTTAAAATGTAATTTTATTTCCTTTATGCGTCTTGGGGAGCGACCGCCGTTTCTAGGCAACAGTTGTCAGCAGCAACAGTTGTCAGCAGCAACAGTTGTCGTGAACAATGGAGGGAGGAGAGATTTTTTTTTAAACTCTTTATTACTATTATTAACATATACATTAAACATGTAATCGGCTTCAAATGTACATAAAATCTGAAAAACCTGATGAAGCCGATCTCAGCTGCTTCCATACAGACAAAAAGGAGGAAGGAAAATAACAAAACAAAACAAAAAGACATACATTAGGGGTTTTCCAGCAATTTCATGATGATTATCATATCATATAGTTCTGTATCTTGACCTTTGTTGGAGGGAGGAGAGATGCGCATTTGTTGCTGACAGTCAGGAACTCTTTCTGTCAAGTCCCATTATTATTAGTGACTTTAGGCTTGTTTATTTATTATTACTAAGGTCAGCTACACTGTCGTGGCGGGAACTAAAGGAGAGACGGGAACTAAAACTCGAGCTGAACTGGAGTCCTTGAGTTAAAAGGATTTTCATAACATTTTATTGCTGCACAAATGACATGAGTGAAGACATTACAATCGTAATCCTTTTTTATTGTAACCAGTTTGTTTCTCTTTGCCACAAAAATAATGGGGAGAATATTAACTAGACTATAAAACAATAAAATATATAAATATAGTCTGAAATTCTCAATGTGTCTATGGGAAACCCATAGACACATTGATGTGTCTATGTGTTTCCCTTATGGGATGTGGAGAAAACTAAAGTGCATTAAGTCTGCATATAAAAAGATTGTACAAAAGCCTCCTTATGGTGTCAACCATTGATTTACTACTAGGTCAGTTACTTTTGGTCTCCATGTTGTCCTTAATATTGTTTGCATGTTTAATTTAGAAAAAAAAAGTAAAAGCAGTTTTATATTGAAATCTTATGTTAAAGCTCAGGTGGTGCTTTCAGATCTCAAAAGTGTTTTGGATATCTTTCTATAACATTTACAGACATTTCAGTGTGATGCAAAGGTGCAAAGTACATAACAAAGCCTTGAAAAAAATGTCAGATTTACACTACATCAGTTAATACATTACAGAGATATGTCTTCTGATTTAAAAAATAGAAAATAAAATCACATAATAACGACTTTAATTACCTTTGATATTTATAGAAACGAACAAAAAATACAACCATCCGATTTTTTTTTATTAGTTTAAAAAAAATTTAAAATAAATTTGTTTAGAAAGGCCACACTGTATATTTATATAAAAACTTGCTTCTGACTTAATTTTCCTAAAATTTAGAGCAGGATTTGATAATCACAGATGCCTTTAAAAATCGTAAAAACATTATTTAGAAAAAAATTAAGAAACCCAAACAGATATGTAGTAAAAAAATATATATATTACAGCAAATATCTCAACATGACTGTCTTGTTGGAAATATGTGACTAAACAGTTGGCATGGAAAGATGTCTGGCTCTGCATTTTCTGTGGTTGTCCCTTTAAATTTATGACGTTTATACCCTAAAAAAACAAAATAAAAAAGTGTTTTCTAAAATATCATAACAACACATTCAGTCCTGAGGTAAAAAAGTTGGTTAGTTTTGTCAGAGCAGGTTGGAGGATATGTTTTCAAACTAATAATTTCTGAAATATATTTAATACTGAACAACATATACTTGTGTATCTGAGGACAGAAATGTTTGAAAAGTGCAAGAAAACTGGTGAATACAAGCGAGTAAACTGGAAATGTTGAGACTCCAGAATAATCATAGTAAATTGTCTTCTTATCCGGCTGAAACAGAAACAAATATTTGGTTTTGGACAAAATAAGTAAAAGCCAGAACATTGGAAAAATTAAAACATTAAACTCCTGCAAACAATTACTTCAAAAGCAAGAAGAATGCGTGTATTTTTTGTCGATTTCTTTCTGTCTGAACCAACAGGCATACGATTCAGGATCTGCAACCTAATGTCAATAACGGTTATTTAGATAAATGTTTCTGTCGGATATGTCTATGAAAAGTCTCTTTAATACTGAGATGTAGTAAAACGTCTCTCTGTGTGCACAGCATCAAAGGCTCCTCCCTAAACTATAGACACGGGAAACAATCAAAACTAAAGACAGGCTGCACAAGGTTTACTATAAACATCTTGCACAATGTCATACAGCCCTCTCCCACAAAAATAACACAAACACAGTGTCATCATCTCCATCCCCTATTATGACATATGGGAACTTTCTGACTCAAATGTAGACGTGTGAGCTCCAGTCTTTTTTTTTTTTTATGTGCACGTTGTATTAGCAGATTTTGTCAATTCAGTAATGAAGAAGCGTTTGATACAAATATTTGGCTTCTTGATCTCTTCTTTGGGATGGCTGTTCATTCTGTGCACCATGGCGATGGACTACTGGAGAATCAGCCAGATTGGAGGACAAGGTGGCTCCTTCATAATCAAGGTGGCCTGGTACTGGTCCAACCTGTGGAAGGACTGTATCACCGACTCCACTGCCGTCACCAGCTGTAGAGACTACGGGGTCCTCTGGAGTGTCTTGTGTAAGTTGTCTTCCTTCAAAAAAACATGTTTTATTCATTGTAGAATTCACTGTGTGATATAAAGTGTCACAATGTTTTGAACATGTTGCATTTGTCACAGCCCTTTTTGTAAGTAGTATGAGCCAGAAACTTTCACTTTTGTCTACGTTATTGAATTTTTATAAATATCTGAATGAGCTTTTAGGCATTAACTCTATCCAACAGAGGATTATCATGTGTCTAAAATGATTGTTTTATCTTCTAAAGATATGCTTAACATAATTTCTTCACCATTACACACAATTCTGAATTCCAATTGCACTGTTGTACATCCTCTAACTAACTAATTAACTCCAGCAACCCAACAGTCATGTTTCTAGGGCTCTTAGTGGAGGATGGTAAACCAGAGTAAACAGTGAAAACTCAAACTGCAAACACCATGCAGACAGACACCAAGCCAGGATTTAATAATCCCTGAATCTTCTCACAGCCGGACAAAAGTACAACCAATAACATTTTCTTATTTTTTTTGATGCTGACAGATTACGTCCAGGCAGTACGGGGGTTGCTAATGTGCGGCTTGACGATTGGATTCTTTGCAGTCGTGTGTTGCTTTGTTGGGATGGAGTGCACTTATATCGGTGGAGCGGAACCAACCAAAGACAAGCTGGTCTTTTCTGGAGCCGTTTTTCATTTTGTTGGTGGTGAGTACAAGAATTCAGGTGTGCTTTTCTCTAAAAAAAAACATGGAAGAAATGTTTTGCCTTCATCTATTTATTTAGTTTCATCAAAACCTTTGCACACAGGTGTGTCAAATCTTGTTGCCTACTGCTTATACATCAACAGAGTTGCCAGAACAGCTTTTGCTACCAATTTGCCAGCTGGAGAATTACGGTACGGCTTTTTTTAGCAACAGGAAAATACTAATCAAAACTGTCTTTTACTATTAAAAATGTGAATTGTGTTTTTCTTTTCTGTTTTCATTTTAGATATGAATTAGGACCACCCGTATTTATGGGTTTGGTGGGATGTTTTTTAATTTTTGGGGGGGCTGTTCTGTATGCTGTGACGGTCATCAAAGTAATCTACCCTGATAGGTATGTGAACCGCTCATCTAATCTTTCATATGTAATAAGTTGACCATTAACTTTATGTTTTGCTTTTTAGAAATGTAATAGAGGTATATGCCAGACCAACATACATGCCCCCATCCTACAGAGGAAGAAGTTTGTACACAGGATACTACGAACCCTCCCGACTCTATGGGTCTTACGCCTCAGGACGATCAAGCAGCAAGATCTCAAGGCTGTCTCAAGCTACACCAAAACTGTCAGAAAGAGATGCATTTGTGTAGTACCGAAGCTTTTTCAAGACTCGCAAAGTCCTGCAGCAGGGTTGTAAAAAAGTGTATAATGTCTAACTAAACTGAATGCAGTGATTTGGTAGCATTTTCTATCATTACTATGTTTTTTGTCACTTCTTTTTATCACTTAGCCAATTGGTGTTTAGGTTCTAATAAAGGCAAAGCCTTAGTTTTTGGATTTCACCATTTTCAACCAATTCATATGACACCAAGGGTTGTTATGAAATTGATGTGAAAATGCTCAAATATCTTTCAACTTGTAAGTCTGAGGTCATAGCTTTTTAATTGGAGGAATGAGGTATGCTCACTTTAATCTCTCCCTCAAGCAAAGCTTCAAGTGTCTCAGTGTTTTGCTCATGAAATGCCAATAGGTTAGAGAAGAAAATTCGTGGACAGATTGGGTCCTATTCTGCAGTAAATTTCCAAGCTGTCAGGATGGAGTCAAAAAGTAAAACTTTCTATTTTTACCCAATTTCTGGTCTTCAACTTTGACTATGAATTATGAGAGATAAATGGGTGGATGGGAAAACTGCAAAGTCCTGGGGAATTTGAAGAAACTGATCCACAGGCTCAGGACATTTCTGAGAAGTCATGAACAAACACAGCAGAAGCCTCTAAAATAACAGTACCTAATATATCCAAATACACACAAAACTGAAATAAATAGAACACAAATTCCTCAGGTTTGTTTAAAAACAAGAAAGTAATGCAAAAGATGTGAATCAGTGCAAAAAGGACAAGTATAAAACTAAACAATTAACATCTTACTTTTTTCATCACAGTAAACATTTTCTGCATAACAAAGATATCAGATAAGATATTGACCAATAAAATGTGTTGACCATTTTGCAAAAAACAACAACAAAGGAAACAAACAAAGATGTTTAAAGAAACATCTTTGTTTGTTTAAAGATGAAACCCATCTTTAAACAAACAAGGAAGGCGTTTTGCTCTGTCTTGTCAGTTTTGATACAAACAAGTGAGCATGAGAATATTTTGCGCCCTTTTTAATTGACTATCTTTTCAATTAGGACATTTTCATAAAAAGGTTGGACAGCTTTTCTGGATAGAAATCAACTGTCCTTCATATGAAAAGCATCAACAATGTGTTAGTTCATGTTCTGTGTTTGTCAAGTGGTGCTGTTTTTATCGTGTTTACTCTTAATAATGTGATTTCAGGCAGCCATTTGAGTATCACTTTTTCTGGAGAAGCTGTTTTTGTCAGTATGATCAGTATAATAAAAAACATTGTTGACATTCAGTGGGCGGCAATTTGATTTGTTATGTCTCCAACATATTTAGTAGAACTGCATGGACATTACTGTAGATCGTCACTTCTTTGAGCATAACGAGTCTTCTCTCAGAGTGCCACATTCGACTTTAGTAAACTCTGAGGGAAAGAGCTGACCAAAACCAAATCATGCTGGAAAGTTCCTGGGTATAAACAGAAAACATAATAGCTCAAGCAATCTTTACAGAACACAAAGTGCACTTCAAGGCAAAACATGTGATGATGTACACAAACATGGTTGAGTGCGTGTGAGTATGTTTTTCCATCTTAGAGCAGAGGTGAGCAGGGAGCTTTGAACAGGTCCGAAACTGAGGTGTTCCACAATTTCAGAAGCTTGGGTTGTTGTTTTACGTCTGAACCTGGGGGGGCAACATGGGTTACAGGACTGTGGTGATGTACACAGAGATCGGCTGCTTTGTGGTCTGTGTAGCCGGGTGGATTTTGGTCTGTTCCACTCAGCCCATTGAGATCTGGACGTGGTCTGAGGTTAGCTCTATTGTCCTGACATCGGCGAACTACTACTCCAACTTGTGGAAAGATTGCGTTTCTGACTCCACAGGAGTCTCTGACTGCAAGGGAATCCCATCATTGCTGGCACTGAATTGTAAGTACAGCATACAGTACCCTCTCAAAAGTATCCACACTTTTTAAGCTTATTCAGGTTTCTTTCCCTATGACAAATTTCAGTGTTTTACATTGTGTATTTATGTAAAAATGATTCTGATTAAATAGTGCATAGTTGTGAATGAAACACAAAGGACACCATGAATTCAGTCCCATAATAACACTGCCTTTCTTTACAAATATAGCTGCAAGTTTTTCTAGTCTATGTCTCAACTAGTTTTAAAGATGGAGATAAAAAGCTTTTGCTAATTCTTCCTCAAAAAAACATCTCCACTTGAGTCATTTGGACAGTTTTTCAGTCTGAGAACCATTGATCTAGACTATTCCACGTTCATGGCCATTATCCTGCTCAAAAGTGAAGCTTCACTTCAGTGTGAATATGTTTTCATTTGAGCCTGAAACCAAAAATGTCTAACATGTTTTTTCTGAAGGAATATTCTGGATTTGCCTCCACCCATCTTTCCATCACTGACCAATTTCCATTGTCCGCTCTGAAGAAAAGCATTCCCATAACATGATTAGAGCGATGGACTTATTATGGGCTAAAAAACTATTGACCTATTAGATACATCTCTGATTAATGCTCTCCTTTTGGCGCTCAGGTTAGTCAGCTGGCCAATTTTTTGATGGGCTTGCAGTTGTGTCAATGACAGATTTAATAGTGTTTTTGTGAAATGTTCAATTCTTAAAATCTCTTCACAACTTTCTCCCTGATAGCTCTGGTGTGTTTCTGCTTCTGTTTGTTCTCTAATGTTCACTGACAAACCTCTGAAGTCTTCAACAACAAACAGATGTAGTTATACTGAAATCACCTGTGTGTACTCTGGTAAATCACAAGTGGATCATTTCTCTAGCCTGATTATTAAACTAGATTATTTAGGGGCATCAAAGCAAAGGGATAAAGTATGACTTTTCCAGAAAACAAAACATGTTTTCTATTCTTACACTTTTTCTATTATGAACAACTTTGTGTTGGTGTAGTACACAAAAGCAGAATAAAATACATTGACATTTGTGGTACAGGGGCTATGAGTACTTTTTCAATACCCAGTTTGGTTAAATACAAAACATATTCAAATTGTTTTCCTTTTCAACAGGGGACATTCATATGTGCCGGGCTCTCATCATCATCTCTATTATTTTGGCTTTCTTTGGATCCATCCTGGTCTTAGTGGGAATGAAGTGCACTAAGATTGGGGGCTCAGAGATTACAAATGCAAAAGTAACCTTTGCTGGAGGGATGAACTACCTTATAGGAGGTAAAACCCAGAAAGATCTCACTGGTATAAAGAGAATGTTTCAGCATTTAAAGCAATGTCCCTGTATCATTTCAGGATTGTGTGCAATGGTGGCGTTCTCTTATTATGGAAATAAAATCAGATCAGAGTTTGATAACCCAAACTATGTGGAACAGAAGTATGTGCAATCCGTTAAATCGTTAAGGTTTGTCTGCAAATACAAATCAACAGATCAATAGTGTTTTTCTCTTTTTATCTGTAACCAGGTTTGAGATCGGTGTTGGAGTCTTCATTGGTTGGGGTGGCTCCACCTTGCTTCTCACTGGAGGCCTTGTCTATAGCATCTTAGCAGGGAGAGAAGCTTTCAACTCAAGGTCAAATATTGATATGAAAAAGCTTTACAAAAGAAAGAAAAAAAAAAAACATTTGCCCTTTTCATTGTTCTCTGAAATACAACTGTATATCTCTTGAATATGATCCTAACAGGCCAGAGAAGTACCCCATCACAGAGTACCCTGCCTACACATTTGTTCCATCGAGAAAGAGCTACGCATCATCGGCTCGCACAGCGATCACAGGGACGAGGAAGTCGAGGAGCTCCAGCGGAAGCAGAAACAGCAGCATCTCCGTCATCTCAAGCACAACAAGGAAGACGGGCAGCACCGCTTATGTCTGATTTTTGCCTACAGTTTCATGGAAAAGTACTGTCTTTGCAGATTTGATCTGTTGTTGCTTTTTTTTTGGTCGGATAAACACATTTCAGATCATTCAACACATACTTTTTCTCATCACTGTATCTACTTGAAAGTCTTTCGAATTAAAATTCTTTCATGTCTTGTGTTGTATAGCAACATTTTCTTTGCTGTAGAATATGTTTTGACTTGATGGTTTTAACAAACCATCTAAAGGATAACCCCAAAAGGCTGAACGCTAGTTTTAAACAGGTGAATTTATTATTTAGGCAGATTTTAAAGATTGCTTCTATTCCCAAAGGGATAATAAATCATAAAATGAGTTTGATTCAATCAGTCAATTAAGCAAATTTCGAAGCAAATTTGTTTGTTTTGCTTAGCTTAGAATATTTGTCAATTGGTTAAATTTGCTGAGGTAATAAAACTATTTTTGTCTTTTCTTATGTTAAAACTTTTAAAGTTCGCAAAATGTCCCTGGCTCTAATTTATGGCCTACATGTCCAAGTACCTCCTTTAAAGATGTTGTAAAGAAAAAAAGTCCAAATAAATCAATGTGTCACTACAATAAGATACATTTAATCAGTGGGAAAAAACCCCAACACTTAGAAATATTTGTCTTTTGACAAAACATTCCAGTATTACTATTATTACTTTGTACTTTACTTTTCTATGTCAACTGAGTGTTTGACAACTTTTAAATAGCAACCTTTCTCTTTTCCTGGGATAAAACTAGGACCTGAGGCAGAGGCCAAATCTCTTAGCCACTTTTCAAAATGATAAATTTAGAGAACATGTACTACAGTGGCACACGTGCCCGACAGCATGCCACTGTATTTCCATGGCTCTGGTTTCTGCTATTTCCTGACACCCTTTGGTACTCTACTAAATTCAATACAATCATGCAGATGTCATTTAATGCAAACAATGCAGTCAAGTTAAATGTCTGTCTGGGAAACCCAGCAAATTTGATCAAGTTAGTGGGTGGAAAGCTCCAACAGAACCTGCGGTGAGTGGGCCATTTGTTACGATTGACTGAAAAGATACAAAAATTTGAAAACAGAATCAAGACCAACAAGAACTAGAGAATGTTGCATCGATATATTTTTGTCATTTTTCTGTAATAGAGAGATGGACGGACTTTCTAAATCGCAGGACACTCCTAAGCACGCGCAGCCCGTTTTGTGCTGCCGTGGCCGCTTTCCGTTGAGCCAAGGGTTATGGGCGGGGCTTAACAAGCCAACCAGCCAATCAGCGGCCCCCACGACCGGACAGCGGAGTGTGCCGCTGTGCGGTGACTGCTGTGGAGAACTGGGGAGCTATGGCAAAACAGTGAAAAGCAACACATGGGACTACAGAGAGCTAAGCCAAACACCTGGTAAATCATCTCCTGACAGCTTGGGACATACCGAGAGAAGACCAAATTCAACCATGGTTTCCATCGACCATGTAGCCCACAAGATACTGACTTACATCCCATATGTTCTTGTTTTGATTGACATGCGATACGAGGGTAAGAGTTGCTAGTTAGCCTTATTCAAATATCCGTAGTTACTGACTTTGTAACGGTGACATTTCCTCTAACCGTTATCCATGGGTCGAGCTGACCTGATTGGAGTTCAGGCGTTGTTAGTTTGCTAGGTGGCTAGCTGTCTTGGCTCACCGTAAGCTAGCTAATTACAGTGGTTTAGCTCGCTTTTGTTTGTAAGTTTCTCTCTGCAAAACAATAAAATCGAACAATATTCACTACTAAAACAAGTGAGCTGACCTTTTACCGTGGGGGAAAATAATTGACAAAAAGCCTCACAGCTGGTCGCTTATAAAGTCTGAGCGACAGAAAGCTTGTTTTTTAAATAACTTTATTGTTCCAATTGTTTATAGCCGTAGTTTATTTATTTATTTTGTAAATTGATCAAGAGACATTATTTAAAATGCAATAAATAACTTTTTTCATCAGCATAAATGTGAATCGTACAATTAGCAATTTAGTCTTAATGGATTTTATTTTTGCTACATGTCCTGCATGTAGTTAGAGAGCAAAGTGACAGATTGCATAAGGCTGCCTCATTATCATGAACCTGCAAACTCACACCTGGTCTAACTCTGCCTGCAGCAGGCTCTGTCTGCTGCAGGCAGAGACAGATATATGTGTCTACAACTAATAGATGAAATACATGTTTGAGGATTCATTTCATAATTGCACAACTACAATTCTCACAGTAAATCTAAAGCTTTAACAAACCCGACTGGGATATTTCAGAAAGTAGAAAATAAAAGTAAAGCAAATATGGTAATCCATGCACTCAAACAGCAAACTTTGTGAAAATAAATGTTTTTTGTTTCTCGTAAAACTTGTGGGCCTGACCGTGTGTGTGTACACGTTGTTGTTATCTCTCCGTGTGTTTCCAGGAGTCAAATGCGGGAAGGATGGAAGCGTCGACAATCACATGGAAATGGGAAAGAAACTGCTTGCTGCTGGACAGCTGGCTGATGCCCTCTCACATTTTCATGCTGCTGTGGGTGAGTAATGGGAATAAAAAAAGCATGTTATTTTTACTCAATAAAATGCATTTTAGGAAAGGTGTGTGGTTGTATTTCCTGCCATTTTCCTAGATGGAGACCCCAAGAATTATATTGCGTACTACAGGAGGGCTACAGTGTTTCTCGCAATGGGAAAATCAAAGTCTGCACTACCAGACCTAAGCAGAGTCATCGAACTCAAACCAGACTTCACATCTGTGAGTTTTTATCTCAGAAACTTGAAATAATTTATTACTCTCACGCTTTGTCATATTGCACTGTCAGCAGGTTTAGTAATCTTTTTTTTTTCTTTGCAGTAGTTCAACAACTAACATCTCCATTTCTCTTTCAAGGCGCGTCTTCAGAGAGGAAACCTTCTTCTGAAGCAGGGAAAGCTGGATGAAGCAGAAAGTGACTTCAAGAAGGTGGTAAGTATAGTTTATGTTTAAACTAAATAAAAGCAAGACTTGTCCAGGAGGGGTCAGTGTTGATTTGTTAACCTGATCTCCCTCATTCCAGCTTTGGAGGCATGCAAGTATGGTAAAAAAAAAAAAAAAAAGGTTGTATTTCCTTTGCAAAAGAGAACATTTGTTGAACTATATACTGAGCAGAGTTACCTTGTAATGTTTGCTCGATTGGATCAACATTATTGGTTCTACAATCAGGTTCAGCAGAACGATGAGTTTAGTTATGCTTTCTTCTTTTTTAGAAGGTTGCCTGGAAAAGCAAATTGGGAAAAACATTTTTTTTGAATAGCGTTCAGACTGTTTATTATGCATTGTCCTTCAATAAATTTTTTTCTTATCACCTTAGATATGATGCTCTCCTTTTGTACCATGTTTTGAGATACAAACTACTCAAATCTCATTAGTTGAAAGGCTTTCAGGTTCATCCAAACATAAGATTAAAACCGTAATTATGAGAAAGGACCACATTCATTAAAACAAAACGTTTAAATAAAAGTGAAGACTATTTATTTTCCAAGATTAGTGATTTTACTTACAGAATCACAAAAAACAATGGTTCAGTGTCAAAACAGAAACTCCTTGTTTGAATTTGGTTCCACATTTCCTCCTTACTGACAGATGAGCTGCGGTCCCTCTGGAAAGTCCATTTAAGGTGGAGAAACCTTTTACTCTAATAACGTCAAGCAACCTGGCCAGAGGTGGACACTGTCCTGCTGTTTCAGCAGTCTGCAGCTGTAGTCCAACCTAATGTATCACATTTATGTTCCACTCTAAGCTGAGTTAGCAGGAATCCCTTGAAAGGGTTGTTGGGTCTTCCTATGCAGCGTCTCAGTCATTAGCAGATATTGCTCTTCTAAACACGAGAACCTTTACAGCTAATGGGTTCAAGGAGCAATGTTTGGAGACGAGGCGGCAGGGAAATCATAGGTGACTTTGGAAATCAGTTTTCGTGAGGATTTTGTGTTCATCCCTTTGGGCCCTGTTGTGCCTGCAATATTTCAAATTCAGATCTTTCTCATTCTGGTTGTGATTTAAACAGAACTAACAGATGCAATTCCTCGCCTTAAAATGTTTCAGCTCAACTCCAACCCTTCGAACAAAGAAGAGAAGGAAGCTACGAGCCAGCTGGCAAAGGCCGATGAGCTTCAGCGGCTTGTGGCCGAGGCGCACCGCAGCTACGGCAGCAAAGACTACCTGACAGCTGCTGCACAGCTTGAGGCAATAATTGAGGTAAGAAGCATCACCTCTGTTGTTATTTCTGCAGAGCGTTTACTGTGTTTGTGAAGTCGCCTCTAAACGTTTGCATCTGCCCGTTCCCCAGACCTGCGTTTGGGATGTGACCTCTCGTGAGATGAGAGCAGAGTGCTTCATTCAGATGGGAGAGATGGGGAAGGCCATCAGCGACCTCAAAGCTTTGTCCAAGCTGAAGAACGACAACACCCAGGCTTTCTACAAGCTCAGCACCATCTACTATAACCTCGGAGACCACGAGATGTCACTCAAGTAAGGAGGGCCTTTGTGAGTTTTGTTTTGCCACATATACACTCTTTCTGAACGGATTTTTAGAAGTATTTGCTGATATTCTCTCGTCAACCTGCAGTTCTTTGCAAAAGTCTTCATATTGATTGAACTGTGTTAATATTACAACCATGAATTTCAGTTGCAAACTGACTTTACCTACAAAGTAGGTTACTTCGGAAGGTAATCTAAGGGTGTCTGAGTAAAGAAGGTAGATTTTTATTTTCAGTCTCAACTTTCAATTTTAGTTTAAAAATCATTTACATTCCCAAAAGATGACTTTAAGTTTGTGGTTTTAATGTGACATAATATGAAGAACTTTGTGGTGCATAAATACTTCTGCAAGACACTATAACTCTGCTTCATTGTGCCACTCTCTTAGTTATTAGAGCCAGAAAATCAGTCATTTCAAGCACTAAGTGCAGTGCAAATGTAGCAAGAAACCAGTGAACTATTTCTGTAATAACAAAGAAAGTGTAAAGTCTGCTCATCTCCTGTGACCTGCAGTGAGGTGCGCGAGTGCCTGAAGCTGGACCCGGATCACCAGCAGTGTTTCAAGCATTACAAACAGGTCAAGAAGCTCAACAAACAGATCCAGTCTGCAGAGGAGCATATCCGAGAGCAGAGGTTAGTGTTTACCAAATGTGTGCTGGCTTGAAATGGTTACAGTGAAATGCTTCAAGCGGCGTGAATGTATTTTAATATCTTTTATGTATTCAAGTAGGAATGAAATATCCCTTCTGAATACCAGAGGTTACATCAGCTATAGTCTCTTTGAGTCCTGAAGCACTCCCCTTTCTGGTTTCATACACATGCCTGCAAATCCTATCTTAACGTGAATGGTTGTCGCATCAAATTTGACTTATTTAATGTACAGTATTCATAAGGCTGCATGTGGAGAATGATGCTGTACACCATGCAGCGTTCTGCTAGCTGACATGTCCTCTTAATCTTGAAGGTTTGAGGAGGCAGTGAGTAAATATGAAGCCGTTATGAAGACTGAGCCCAATGTCCCCCAGTTCTCTGCTCTGGCCAAGGAGAGAATCTGCCACGCACTTTCACAGGTCGGAGCCCTCGCTCTGTATTTTTTATTTTTGGTTTTTACAGGAATATTAACTACACCATTCTGTTTGGGTTTGTGTTCTGAGCAGGCTCAGCAGGGGGCCAGGGCAGTTTCAGTGTGTAGCGAAGTCCTACAGTCGGATCCTGAGAACGTGAACGTGCTGAAGGACAGAGCTCAGGCCTACGTTCAAAACGAACAGTATGAAGAAGGTAAGCCTGTTGGCTCGACCTCTCTATTTCTTTTGCATTTCAACTGTGTCTGAGACTTTTTTGTGTTTCTCGAGTGTATACGTCACTTCTCAGATACCTGATAATAACAAAGAAAACAACAAAAACACTTGAATCGTCTGCCATTTCACATAAAAATATACAGTACAAAATATACAGTATAAAATAAAGTGATAGAGCAACACAGAATGGTGCGTAATTCCCAAGCGTAAGGAAAGTCAGAAAATGTAATGCCAACTGAACTCCTGGAGTTGCCTGTTTAGTAAATAAACTCTAATTTATTTCTGTATAACTATAGAAATAAACCCTAGAAGGTTATTGGAGAACATTAGTGTGTTGGGGGAAGGGGAGGAAGTCCTATTCGTACTTAAAGATTAGAAACACGGTGGTGGCAGCATTATACTTTTGGTGAAATTCTACTTAAGAATTGAGACTGTGCCAGAGGTTCAAACATAAAGCCAGAACTACAATGGAGTGGCTTGGAGAGAATATTCTTTTATTAGAATCAGAGGTATGAACAATTTACTTGTATCAGAGTAATAAGATCCCTTAACTCTAAAGTAACCTTGGGAAAAGCTTTTGAAAAAAAATATTTTTTTTATTGGCTGTCTTTACTCTTCTACAAAAGGCTCTGCTGATGGTAACAACTGTAATGACACAGTCTTACCACATGGGGTCCCTGCTGCACCACAGCATAAAAACAGTCAACTGTCCAACTTTAGGATTTCACAATCGGGTTCTCATCCAGAGATCTGCACAGAATCATATTTTTTCCTAGGACTACGTATCTTTGTGCCACTCCTCCTCCAGACTCTGATACCTTGATTTTCAAATGTACAATTTACTTTTATCTAAAATGATGACTTTGGACAACTGAGGAACAGCAAAGTACTTTTTTTTTAACCCAGGTCAGACATTCCTGGTGATATCTCCATTTTGGGAGTGGCTCAACATGATGAATGTATGTTGTAGCCAATGTACTGGGTGCATCTCATTGAGATTACTCTTGAAGCTATGACTCCTTTCTAAATGGACTTTGCTTGTGTACTTCTTTCTTCCACTCAACTTTCTATTTGTCCACACAACTGTGGCACTCTGTAAAGGATCTGTTTCTTTGGCATGGATTCATTCTCCTTGTGTGTGCTGTTATCCTGTTTTAATTCTCTTCCTTGTTCAACTCACCCTGGACAAAATGATAGCTTGTTAGCAGACCTCTGCAGAACAGCAGCTGTGTTTCCATTGGCCATATTATGCAATGCGACACTTTTAAAATAAATTCACTTAATGGAAACATGGCAATTTTGGAAGAAAAAATCCCCCCCCAAAAAACTCTAGATTTTTGTGAAACGTTTTGGCAAATAGGATGATGTACTTTTTCAAAATTGGCTTGTTTTGCAAAATTGTAAAGGAAACTTTTTGTAGCATCACACTTTTTAGCACCAGTGGCAATACTGATAAAGTTTTGTCTGTAGTGAAAACGCAGCTAAAGAATATTGCATAGGTAGTAACAGGACTAAAACCCTTGAGGACTGACTTTGGACACCAATGGTCAGCTGTGCCTTGAGGTCAAGGGTTTGAGACCACTGCCCTGAAAGTAAATTAAAAAAAAAAAATTTAATGGAACTGCATTTTGTTATTAGCTACTATAATCAGTCAACAAAAAGTAATGTTTAATTTTCTTAATCACTAAAACTTTTAAATGATTTTTTTTAATGTATTGAAGTGCAGCTGTGCATTAACATGCTTCAGAAACACTTTACCAATTCAGAGCTACGCTTTACTCTTTGCTAGCAATTTTTAAAACAGAAATAAGACACATTAGAAACTCTTGTGTTTCAAGCCCACTTGAGGATGTTGAGTCATGTTGGATTTTACTTTTAGATTTTACTGAGCCAACATCTCATAGGTGCTAGTTGTAAAAGTCAGTATGCACATACATGGAGTAATGACTGCAACAAAACAAAGACATTAATTTAATCTTCTTGCTCCTTTATTTTAGTTCTTTCCAGGTCAAAACAAAATCAAAAACAAAAAAAACATCTAGTACATGTCTCTAACAAACCCCATCGTTCTGTAAAGTCAGCCAAGAAATAATAAGACTCATCCTGGAGATCCTCATCACATCTGCAGAACAAGCCTCACTGAGATCGACCTGTGCTGTCATTAACGTGACTCGAACACATCAGCCGTTAAGAGACGGCGGACCACATGTGGGCCTTTAATGTGTCAGAACACATGGGCGTTTAATTCACCTGGGTTCACCGCGCAGGGTAAACACGGCTCAAAGCATCCGAACCCTGTGCTCACATTCGCCCTGAAGCCGTCTCTGCTTCCTGCTGAATGAGTTTACATCAGGAGTGAATAAGCTGCAGATGCAACCTATTAAATTAATGTGACATCGATAAAGCAAGAGCATGTAGGCCAACATTTATGAAGCGACGGGCGCTACTAAATAATGGCAGATATTTGAGTAGTTTTCAGCATTTTCTGAATGTGGAAACTTGAGTAATTTATTTAAAGCAGCTTGACATTTAAGGTGTAGAAATCCATCTGCTGATCCCTCAGATATTTACTGTTTTCTTCACAAGTTTATATCGACCATTTCTTCCTCCACTCTCATTTCTTATGAAGTTGAATAACTTGTCAACTTCCCTGACATTTGCTTAGCTTATCTGTGTTATTTTGGTCCACAGTGCAGTATTTTCAAATAAGGCAGAACAATATTTTTTTGTATTTTCTTCATTTTCTTCAAAAAGCACCCCTCTGAATTCATCAGTTTTTTTTTTTTTTTTTTTTTTTTTTTTTTTTTTGCACAAGCACTTTGGACTGCTTTTAGCCCTCTGTATGCAATCTACAGTAAAAAGCCATTTTAATTAATCACTTCTCAGTCAGTAGATGCATTTAAATCAGCCCAGACCACGGCTCTTTGTGTCAGCCAGACAATAAAGTAATATCCTGGAGGAGCCTTGTGCCATGCGTACCGGCTGTTAACATGCATCGCTGTGATTGCCTCCGCTGTTTGTTTTTTTTTTTTTTCTTGGAGTGATGTGGCTGGCTGAAATTGAATTCACGTGTTCTGCATGCTGCACTGCTGTTCCTAAAGCAACTCTTTTAGCCTCCTGTTGTTCAGTCACACAGGTTTGAAGCATTTGATTTTCCTTAAGTTCGCCGTACATTCTTAATTTCAGAAAAGTAGCTAGATTAATTTTAAAAAATAATTCTGTCTCTGAGAGGACTTGATGTTGAGACGTTGTTTTTGGGTACGTTTATTTCTTGCAACGCTTCTTTATGATGTCGGAGGAAAGTCATATGGCTCAAGCTCAGTGGATGCAGAATGTCTTTAACGTCTTGCCAAGGAATGAAATGAAGTCTGGACTTTGACTAGGCTGTTCTAACGCATCAATATGTTTTGATGCGTTAGAAGCTCTAGTTATGTTTTCACAATTTTTTTCAAGCCTCTAAAAGATTTGTTTGTTCATTCACCTTCCCACGTCTGATAGATTGATGCTGCCACCACCATTTCCTGTCAGTTGTATTTATACTGAGATTGACTGTATTTGCAAATTGGTTACACTGACTGGATTTTATTTAGGGGTGCTGAAGTTGAGGAAATTGAATATGAACATTTGGACATCATTTAATCCTTTTCTTTCAAATTTGTGTTAGTCTGACAAAGTCCCACTAAGACACATCAAAGTTTTCAGTACCAATTTTACAAAAAGAAAAAGAGGTACTAAACATTATTTTTCTCTTTTTCTTTCCAGCCATTAAAGACTATGAGACTGCAGCGAAACACAACGAGAACGACCATGAGATCAAAGAAGGCCTGGAAAAAGCTCAGCGACTTCTCAAACAGTCACAAAGGAGGGATTACTACAAGATTCTTGGAGTGAAGAGGTGTGTGCTGATCACTGGATTTAGGAAATTTAGCTTGGGATTTTTTTAGGGCAGCATTAATTAGAATTAGGATGTTTAATTAATTCTAATTAAGCATGTGTCAGGAAGGAACGTTTTTCATTCAAACAACAATTTGTTTTACACATAAAAGTTTAGGAAAAAATATCCTACAAGCAAACACTATTTGAGCCACTTTTTAATCATTATACTTTTGAAAATACTTGGTTTCCTATGCAGGAACCAGAACACCAACTTAGAATCCAAAAGTATTTTTGGCTTCAGCTTGTGTTAACGTTGAGATATAGTGGCTGTTTGCATTTTTATAGAATGTGCTGATAATGCTCTATTCACGCTCACAGAACTGCCCAGAAAAAGGAGATTATCCGTGCTTACAGAAAACTGGCCCAACAGTGGCACCCTGACAACTTCCAGGACCCGGAGGAGAAGAAGAAGGCAGAGAAGAAGTTCATAGACATTGCTCAGGCTAAAGAGGTTCTCACCGATCCAGGTAAGGATGACGTCTGCAGTCTGAGACGCTATTAGTGCCCATCTTGCAGAACATGGCTCCTTACTGGAATTTATTTTGTCCTGTTGGATTATTGGTAGGAAACAGTCAAGCTTGGCTGATTCAAACAAGAAAGATGACAGAATGAATCTCATGTTAGAGGCAACAGGATTTGACTCTGAAGAAAAACATGCATTCGCAACTCAGAATTTTAGCCAAGTCAGGATGCTTAAACAAGTTTACAAAAAGACGACGTGTTCAGTTTCACTAGAACCTCAGATAAATCTGTGCTTTCCAGAAATGAGAACCAAGTTCGACCACGGCGAAGACCCCATGGATCCAGAGAGCCAGCAGGGCCCGTTCCACGGAGGTTTCCACGGCTTCCAAGGTTTCAACCCGTTCGGCTCCGGACCCTTCAACTTCAAATTTAGCTACAACTGAGAAGTCTTGGTATTAAGCATAACTGGAGCGGATTTTCCTTTCCTCCCTATTTGAAAAGGAGATCATTGGCATGAAAAAAACCATGTCACTTCCTGGCTGTCAGAAAAATGTGGAGCGAATGGTGACTTTAATTAAAAACTCATCTCTGTTGTTGAAAAATGCAACCTGGAGTGTCGCCTGGGGGGTGAGGCGGGTAGGTATACCTGTATCCGCCTTGTGTGAAGCAGCTTATTTGTCAACATGAAGTTCATTCTGACACATGGATTGTTTCCATGTGTCACACACTCTGCAATTCACATCCACTCATCTGATTAAATTTATTCATAAACACTATTTTTTATATGAATGGATTTTTGCTGAACTGTAAATAAAAAAGCTATTTATGTACATGAATCTGGATTTGGTGAATTGCGATTAAAACAGCAACATGCACCTGGTAAATAGTTAAAAACATGCATTCTTTTGCAATTTACTGAATCCATCCACCCACTGATGATCTGTGAGATTAGAACTTAAATTTTATAGCAAAAGTTTATTTTATTTTTTTTATCCACCATTGCATAATATTAATAAACATTGCTATTTGACATTTTACAATAAAATAAAGGTCTCCTGAGAGCAGACTGCGTAAACGTGTTTAAAAACATCAATTTTTAAAATGGAAACACATGTTGGCTTGATTTAAGCAGCAATACGTCCTTTTAATCCTGAGACAAAATTCACCAGATGTCTGAAAAAGTCACATAATTAACACAGAAATAAGTCAACATTTTACATGCCACTTATAAAAGCATGACTTGAGGATTCTTTGTTCTGATGGGAAAACTGAAGCTGAGTACCAAAGACAGACCACCATTTGTCCAACTCCACTCTGTAGACACTTGGGTCTCCCCCATTGGCTGCGTTCTCTCTGCCGGTTAAAGAAACTGTCCCCATAAGAAGCTGGTAAATAAACTCCTCCTTACTGATAATGGTTTCTTGATGAAAGCTATCTGAATGTGTGCATACAGTTGTATTCCAGATGTTTAGAAGGAGAGAAATTCTGGTAAAAAAATAAATAGTTGCGATATAAACTTGCAACAAATCTGTGCTGAACATGTACATGAACACCACATCTACATGTTCAGATGTTGAGGAATCTACATTATTAAAAACACCTTAAAGATTCCTTCCTTCAATCTTTAACTCCATGAATGAGACGGATTGAAGCCATTCGTCAGGCTTTCCAATGTTTCCTTATAAAAATGTAGGACTCAACTCAATAAGAATAGTGTGGAACTGGATCAAAGTATTTTCTACATCTTGAAGGAAACAGACTGTTAAAAAATGTTCATATTTTAAGACTGTATTACCTTCCCTGCTGTATACATGATGCTATCTGAATTTAGGAAGTAAGTCACCCCAATCGGAGCACTTTATGCTGGTATTTTTCTAAAGGTGTCCATCCATACATCTCGGGTTTCCAAGTTTAAATTCTCTCCCCTATGAAGACATAGATGTAGTTGGATTTATAAAATGCGACAAAAAATTAGAAGTGAAATCTTAAAAACAACCAGTTAAAAGCAGGTAACTGTGAAGAGATTTTTATGGTTGTGTTATTAGTATATAGTGAAACATGCAGATAAAAAGGTAAGAACTACGACTGAAAGATGTAGCTTGTTGTTGGAGCTGCCAAGTGAGGAGTGATCAGTTATAGGTGGGTGGAGTTTAACAAAAGGCGGACTGTCTATAATGCAGTTTGTGAAATCTAATAACGGTAGACTTTGGTTTGGCACGACAGACGAAGGCAACATCGTCTCCACTTGGTTCAGACAGAGAACAATAGCAAGATAGGTGTGTTATGTGTCATGTTTTAAATACTGAAATATCTTTAGAAAAGTATCTTCTCTACTTGTACAGTGCAGCATATGCCAAATGCTTCCCTTAAACATGATGTGGTGCTTTGAACGTTCTGTTTCCAAGACTCTCCAATAGTTGCTGTCGGGCTGTAGAGCTTCAAGCCGCGGGTTTCTGGCTGCCCTTTCACAATTAAATCCTGTGCTGAGTTTGTGAGATTTTTACCGATTTCAGAAGCAGAAATGACATTTCTGAAAATATCACATCCTCTTCATCCGGCTGGGGATGTAACACTCCACAGCTATGTTTAGCTGGAACTGTCTGTCTTCAAGCTTCACAGGTGGCCTGTGTGCAAAAAGGTGCAGCCTGCTTCCTCTTCACCGTGCTTCTGGCAGACACTAAAGTTCATCCCGCCGGTTCTCTGCTGCAGGAAAGAAATGCAGAAAACGAGCACTTAATACGAGAGAAAAAAACACATCTAGAGGTGGAAAAGGTTAAGTCGTGCTGAGGAATAACAGACAAAGGCTGCAGTTTGATTAATACAACAGGAAAGCACTGTGGAAGGACATCTTTTCCCTCCTCCTTTACCTTTCTGATGTAGTGAGGGGGTTGGAGTCGGTTCCTGGACTTGTCTCAGCATTTCTTTTATCTCCTTGTCATAATCTACCCACTCAGGCACGATCCTTGCTGCTGCCATCAGTTTGGGCTCTTTGGTCTTAGGATTATTACACTGCAGCAGAAAAACAGACCGACACATCACTCACTCGTCACCGGTGGCACTTTGTTCGTACAAGTCAGCTCCCTAGTCCCAGGGCAGTCTGCGACAGGCATTTGCACCTAATTTGATTTCCAATTTGGTTAAAAGGACATTACGCCTGGTCTTGTGTCTGAGTTACCAAGTAGTGACCTACACCGCGGAGAGACAATGCTTCCTATTTCAGTCTGCTGGAGCACATCCAGTAATTCTCCAAATTAGTTTAGGACACTGCAGGATTGCCTGGTTGCCCGCTAAATGCCAAGTGCCTTGTGGACATTAGTGGATGGGAATGCACTCAAACATTATAGTGCCTCAGCAGATACAATGTACTGCAACATGAAAGGTAAAAAGGACATTGGAGAAAAAAAAAAAACAGACCAAGTCTGATTAAAGAAATAGAAACTCCAAAGTTAACTTTAAGAATTTACCTGTTTATTGCATGAATGAACATCTATATAAATATGTGTATTTGTTAAATTAGTACACTGATAATTTACAATAGGTGTAAAAAGTTAAATTGTATCACAATGCACTGGTTAAGGTTATACATGAATTGCATCTTTTTATGCAAGTAAGAACCATTAAAGTCTGTATGTTTACTGGATGTTGTTTGAACTCAGACATTTGGGAACCCAAAGCATTTCTAATGTATTTTGTATTCAAGTTCAATTTTATTGCTCCAGTTGTGAATAACTGCATGTAAAATAATTCCTTACTATGCTTTTTTTGTCTATAACAGTAAGATAAGTGGAGTTTCATCATGTCTCGTCCTCTCAAATCAAATCAGATTTAGGACAATGAATGTCTTATTTTATTAGGGTTTTTTAAATAACACCCTACATTTGAATGAAAACTCAGTGACTTCTAAGGAAATAATCCTTTTAAGTAATTATTTCAATATTGACCAAAATGATCAGGCTTTTTATGTTTTATATGGTCAAGATGCCTTAGGCAAAGGTCAGAAATAGATATCAAAATTATATGTTTACCAACAAAAACTTAAAGACCAGAGGGATTATTAGACTTTAAATGTTACGGCTCCAGGACTCACCAGGTCGATAGTCTTAGCTGTAGCTTTAGAGGCGTCATCACACCATGTCTCGCACCACAGCCACTCCTGAGGAAGTGACTTAATGGCCACCTGATGAATCATGTTATTGGGAAGGTCCTAAAAAAATGACAAAGCAAATCATTAATTTTTTTATGACTATAAATTCATGTGAGTAATAAGTTACTTATCATGTATTGAATTTTATGGATGAGTTTATGCACCTGGTCCAGGTTTGACAGACTGTTTGGGTCCTGGCTTAAAGCTTGGTACTGACCCCTCAGTCTGTCTCCAGCTGCAATTTTACGGAACTTCTTTAAATCCACCACATAGAGAGCGCTGGGAGAAAACAGCAAAGAAAAAAGATAAGACAGGGTCACGTCTCTGCATTTTACTGCCACATTCAATAAATTAAATATATGCTCAATTGAGGCTGGTATCTCTCCACAAACGTGTGTGTTCTATTGGTTTAATGTAGTAATGTAATCCTAAATCTAGTGTAACAGCCTATGGTGATATGACTGTGTTGCAACTTTGTTTAGGACACTGTTTCATGGAAAACTAACACTGCACATCACTTTGAGCACACAATCCCCACAGTGTAACATCTTGGTGGCTGCATCATGCTGAGGGAATGCTTTACTTCAGCAGGGTTTAGGGAAACTAAGCAGAGTTCACAGGAAAAGATCAACTTTATAGCACTTTTGTAAACAACTCCGTGTTAGAACACAAAAACAATACAAAGAAACAACACAAAGCAAATTGTTGATTGTATTTTTCTTGAACTGGAAAAAAAACAAACATTTTATTTAAAAAAAAAAAGACAGAAAACGACAACTAGATGTATATTTTGTACATTCAGATATCTTTTTTTTTACTTTGAATTCAGACTTTTTTTAAATGTCTTCTTTTGCAGTCGAGAAATGCACATTATCAGGTCAGCCAATATGACTTCATTTTAATTGATCAAACTCATAAATTATTAGTGCAAATATGGCATGAAGATACGCTGCCTTATATTTGCTGTGTGCCCTGAACACAGCCGTTCGTAAAACCTCACTAACCTCCTGATGGCCAACACTCCTGAATATGTTCAAGTATGTTATTGTTGTAACATGAAATGTTAACACATTTCAAGACGTGTTGCAGATACCAGTTCCATCATCTATCACTGTTATAACGAGCTTGGCAGATTCTCAGCTTGAGAAATATGCAATAATCCAACTTATTGCTGTTTATCAGGACAGCAATAAATGAAGTTGTACAGTTATGATGCCATAAACAAAATGAAGCGCTGCCTCTAGAACCAGTTTGCATTAAATCGACGATGCAGAAAATTGACCAACTTTTTTTCTTCCTTTCATTTCCCTTTAACATTGGTAACACTAGTAACTGCCAAAGAAAAATATTTACAATTCGACTGCCTATATAGTGTAAATACATATTTTAAAGGATTAAATTAACATTTTAAAAGCACAAATGTGCAGCCACTAAATGCCGTCTCCTGTCTCCTGTCTAATGTCCTGCTTTCTCTGAAAATGCAATTTGTATTTTGCACAGATCTTCACTTCGGTAGCATCGAGCTGAGAAAGGTAGCTGCACATGTGTGAAGTTTGTCTCAAAGGAGACATCAGACTCCTCTTTTTTATGGGTACAGAGGCTGTGGAGAGCAAACAGCATAAACACTGCAGG